TCCTCCTCCTCCTCCTATGTATGCTTGCCCGTGCAAGGCAAGCCAGAATCCATCATTACTCTGCCCGTGTTACTAAAAGGTCTCTTGTTGTACATCGTGTCCTCAGAATGGAACGCGTATTTTTAGTTGTTTTTTCGAGGGAAAGTTTGGCTTTCATCAGTTGGACATGGTTTGGTTTATTCTCCCTCTCTTTCCAGTTAAAGTATCAAACGGTAGAGCGAGTGTTGTGTGGAAGTGCATGCAGGTACTGAATAAACACACACTTGAAATCAGATGGCCTGTTTAAAGACTAATCAACTGAACTATAAAAACTGATGTTCTGAGGACAAGTGTGAAAACTGAGAGGCTGGAGGACAGAAACATATTTTCAAGACATGAGACAAAAATACAAGTTTATGCACCAAGGAATTGTGTTGCATCTGTTAACATTCACATATTTTATTTTATTTTGTTTTCAACACCCTCACATTTTGTATGAGATATTATTGAGATAACAAGGTGGTCTCGAGCTGATTTTCAGCTACATTTATTGAATCATCACCACTGAAAATCTGATGGTGTGTACATAATAATTATATTGAACATCCTTTAAAGTTGCATATATTTTTTTTATATAAATGTAATGTTATAATCTATTACTATTTTAAATATTATATTCAATCTTTGTTTAATCTCAAATTTTGTAGTGTTAATTATTGAAATAATGTTATTAATGAAATTAACAAATGTAAAACATTTTAATATATAATCTAATATAAGTATTGTGTTGTGAAGAGGTTAAGGGCAAGTTGAATGGAGCAATGTTGTTGTTAACTAAAACAAACTATTAAAAATGTTTTTGGGAAAGCTGAAATAATATTGCATATAAATATTAGATGAAAAACTTCTAAAAAGTAAACGTAATAAATATACTACAATTGAAATAAAAATAAATGATAAAATAATAAAAAAAATCTAATGAAGTAGTTAATTTTTGATAAGAGTATTATAGTGATCATTTAAGATTAATGTTAAAGTGGAGATGAAAGGTAAAATTGTGAGAGATATTTTGTCGGTGTGGAGGTCTGTGGCAGCTGAACTTCACTAAGTAGAACACATAAACTAGAATTTTAGGGACAACAGTGAAGGAAACTCAGAGCAGTTGTCCAGATAGAAAGTGAAAATGAAGAATCTACTTATGTAAGGCTTGGACCTGCAGACTGAACATCCCAAACATGAATATTTAGTGATTTTGTTTACCTAAAGTCTGTGGAGAAAAGCTTTTGTGATTGTGCCACTGTCCCTCAACACACACACACACACACATGCACGCACGCACGCACGTACGCACACACAGACACACACAGACACAGACACACAGACCTTCAGCAAGGACAAAGCTGCTGATCTCACTGTTTACAATGACGCAGCTCGCTGAAGCCAAAAACAACCCTGTTTAATGGCTTTTTGTTTAATGGTGAATTCAGGAGTATTTCTGTGGTCGTCCTGAATCTTGTAGACCTGCTTTCTCCTCGCTCCATGTTTGGTAAATTCTCATCTGCTAAATGTGTTGGCTGGCTGGTGGTTAGACCTGTGATATGAAACACAATAACAAGCATCAAATGCCAGTGTGAATTTACAATTTTGGATGAAAATTTTCACCGTAGGTGATATGATCTTAAAAACATAACACAGCATGTCAGGTAGTTGTTATTAAAAATTGTTATTAAAGTAATGTTAACTGTATTTATATGAATAAGGCTAAATTTAATGAAATAAGCACATAATTTTACAGTTTACAAGTCAAATAAAAGAGAAAATGTGAAACTTTCTATCTTTCCTTGACAAATAAAATATTTACTACCAACTAATTAATACTAATTAATTATATATTTTAAATTTTTCATGAAAGTGTAAAATTATATATAAAAATATATTTTATATATGTTATATTATTATATAAAATAAAATATAATTATTTAAAATTATATTATATATAAAACTTTATTACAGTAACTATTACAGTACATGCTACTGTATTACATTTGTGAATTCTTTGGGAAATGTGCTGAATTGTTATTAAAATAATGTGAAAAAACATCTTATTTATTTTTTTATTTCTTTAGGTTTTGGGTGAAAAGTACGGAGCCCCGCACATGACATGCAAGAAAAAGGAAAAAAAATCGTGGGCACGATTTATTCATTCGTTCCCTCGATTTACTAGATCGTGCGCGCAATTTAATAATTTGTTCCCTCATTTTAAGTAAATTGTGTGCTCGATATAATAATTCGTGCCCTCATTGTAGGTAAATCGTGCGCACAAAATAATAATTAGTTGTACTTCCTGTCCGCGTACGCATTCTCATAAACATGTTGCTGCTATATGTTGTGTTATGTTATGGACAGAGACACTTTAATTGGGTTTTATTTTGAATTGGGAATGAGTTATAGAGACATTCTCAAATGCCTTGCAGTGTTGCATGGAATCATTTTAAGTCAGAAGCATCTACATCGCATACTAAGAATTGGAAGACTCTACCGGTATACCGGCGATGGCGCACGATTTACCTAGAACGAGGGCACAAATTATTATATCGAGCACATGATTTACTTAAAACGAAGGAATGAATTAGCCTATTAAATCGTGCGCACAATCTAGTAAATCGAGGGAACGAATTAATAAATTGTGCCCACGATTTTATTTTATTTTTTTGCATGTCATGTGCGGGGCTCCGTAGAAATGTGACCTGGACATGTTTTTGAGATAAACTGACCTTGTCAAGTACAGTGTGTTTTTAACTTTTCGTGCCCTATCCAAGGTGATCTGCTATGCTGTACATTTTGATATGATACAGGTGGACGGCCAGACACATACATTAGGTGGGCGTTATCTAAATAATATGCTTTCTACATCACTGCTTATAATTTGAAGACAGGCTTCAGGCTTTCTCTCTCAGAGCTGTCTGCTGTCCTCTAGAGCCATCTGGCCTGGGTCTGTTTCACCACAATGTGATATTGGCCATAATTGGCCATGAGAGGATGAAACGCATGCCGGGTCTCGGATGACATTAAGCAGACCAGCGTTACTCTGGTCTTTCCAGGTCTTTCTGTGTTTACGCTCCATGCCCAGGCCCCTTAAGGCTCTCTGCTTCGCATCCTCTCTCGTTTTCTCAGCGCATACGATGCATTATGCAATATGTGAAATGCAGGAGTCTGCTTTGGGGGGTCCTCTGTGACGTCCTTCCCCTGTTGTGAGCGTTAACCCAGGGTCAGAGGGTTGCTTTGGGATGTTTCTGTTCGCAGGTTCTCACAGCTCGGAATTCTTTAGCTGAATACCATCTTCGGAATTCTTTCCGTAGAATTCTCCTGGGATGGAAGGCAGGCACGGACCCTCCAGTAGCGTAATGTAAACACAGAGTGCCACTGAAATGCACAACGTCCCGTTTGTTTACATTTTTTCCATCCCTGCTGTATTGTGCCGAAAATTTTGTAGGTGGCAATTAAAACTGTGAGAGAAAGGCTGTTGCTGATGCCAGGTTATGTGCGTGTTCCTCACCTACATCGTAATATTCACCGTATCGTGGGTCTGATACTCTGGAGACCTGGCCAGATTTCCACCCTAGTTGTCGATGATTTTTTATTTATCAAGGGTTGTTGTTGTTTCAGCCATGTCTGGACATTAACCAAACACATTTAAATCATACTGTAATTGACTCTGAGGTGCTGGAGACAGGAGTGAAACAACATGTCCTTTTTAGGTGCTCCGTGTGCTGTGTTTCGACAGAGATCTTCAGATCTGCAAGCCGAACAGCTGCCCTTCCACAGTTTATGAACCAAAACACAGAGTTATTGAATAATCCCATATGCTGTGGGGTTGCAAGTGAATTTGTGTTGTCGATGACCTATCCAAGCCCTTGAGCCCCATAAAAAAAGAGCGCTCAACCATTTAAAAGGGCATTTATACTTCATTTTAATTTTATTTATTTTTAATTAAATAATTAAAGTATATAATTTGTATAAATCTAGTTTTTATGTATTATAAAATTATATATTTTAATTATTTCAAAATAAATTATACATAAATAATTATGTAATCATGTAAAAGTCGGTACTGAAATTATGTTGCAATTATGTTGAAACTGCAGAGCAGTAGGTGCTACACACAGCCAGAAACAGTACAGGTTTGACAGACTTTACCTTATTTTACTTTTACCGTTAGTTGTTGTTACTCCTCTTGAAGGGATAGTTCACCCAATAATTTACATTTCAGCATTATTTATTCATACTAATGTCATTCTGAACATTCTGTGCTTCTGCCAAAAAGAAAGACAGTCATACAGGTTTAGAATGACATGAGGCTGAGTATATAAAGACAATGAGTTTTCATTTTTGGGTGAACTCTCCCTTTATGTTTCTGAATACTCAGTTAGGTGTCTTTAATGTGATAGTGTGGCCATGTTCAAATACATTCATCTGCCTGGCTTTAGAAACTTGCATATGTAATGAACAGTTTTTGAACCTTATAATACGTGTATAGTAGTTCACTGTGCTGTTGATAGGAACATGCACTTCTTATAGCCACCAATAGGGGGCAGCAGACAATATGGAGTGTGTACATACACCTTGGGCTTCAAACGTCTCCTCCTTTTTGTGGTTTCCTTTTGTTTCTTTAGCCCTGCACTGTTTTTGAGGACAGATCTGATCTACACCGTCGCTGTTCTGTAAGCAGTTGAACTAAGATCAGTGACTAAATGTCTAAGCACTCTGAACATAGAACAGGCAATTTTTCCCATCATTAGTCAGACAAGCACATGGTACATT